TGAGCTGGTGGCCCCGGGACTGGGGGTGATGCTCGGGGTGATGCCTGAGGCGCCTGGCATCTCCCACAGTGGCTGGCCGGGTTTTTGCTCCTTGGTGACAGTGACAAAGTCATTGGTGGATGTGGGTGTGGAAGACCCTGCACCCCGTGTGCCACCCAGGCAGCACTCCAGGAAAACCCTGTGCAGGAGGGGCTGGGGCTCACGGGGCTGGGGCTCACGGGGCTGGGGCTCACGGGGCTGGGGCTCACGGGGCTGGGGCTCACGGGGCTGCTGATCCTCCCTCCCCTCCTCCTGCCCCAGATGCTGTCGGTGCCCGAGTACAAGATCCGCCTGCGGAGTCTGCACTTCAAGACCACGCTGCAGGAGAAGACTGAGGAGATCAAAGCCAGCTACGAGTGCATCTGCAAGGCCTCTCTAGAGCTGAAGAGCAGCAAGAAGCTGGCAAAGATCCTGGAGGTCAGAGCAATCCCTCCTGCTTGCAACAGTCACCAGTGGCCCTCAGCATTGCACAGGAGCACCACAGGCAGCTCCAGCCCACATTTGGGCAGCACTCGAGGCTGATCCCTGCGTACCCCCATACTGCCCATGCCCCTGAAGAGATGTTTTTGGGTGTTCTGGGATGGGCTGTGGCTGGCAGAGAGAGAACAAATTCTCCTGCACTCCTCTTTGACCCTCCTGAGATGAGCTGCCCCAAATTGCTGTTCATTCATTTGGTTTTGCTTTWAAAAAAGCAAGTGGGATAAATKAGGTCACYGTGTGAGCAAAGGCATTTSCAGASAAGAGATGAACCTCCTTRGTGGCTCCTGGCCAGTGACCTCCCCAATAATTCCTGAAATCCTTGGGGGGCARTGGCTGGCTGCACATTGATGGGTGGTGAACAGAAATTCCCCATCCCAGRGGCTGGGAGATGGGATGAAGAGGTGCAGGAGCCCCTCATTCCCTGGTTCCTTCTTTGCAGTTTGTGCTGGCCATGGGAAACTACCTGAACAATGGGCAGCCCAAGACCAGCAAAACAACGGGCTTTAAAATCAACTTCCTCACYGAGGTAAGGGGAGCGGGGCTGGCTGCGTGCAGGACACAGCGAGGCTGGGAGCTCCCTGTGTCCAGAAGAGCTGTCCCCCTAAGGGACCCCTGGGTGCCAGAGAGGGACTGTGGAGGGGCTGCAATGAGCCACAGGGATGACTTCAGAGAGACCCTACAGAAGCTCGTTGTGCTGAGGAATCCCTCCTGCCTCGGGCTGGCCAGGGCCCTGCTGTGGTGGGAGATCCTCRTGCCATGGGGGTGGCAGTGTCACTCCTGAGGGGTGAAAATAGGGGAACGGCCCTTCCCTGGGTGAGGGGGCACCTCCACTAATAGGGGCACACATGGTGTGTAAACACTGAATGTCCAGTTTAACCATTAACCGTGGGACGTGGGGCGAACTGAGCCGGGAGTGACCGACCCTGAATGTGTGTGAGCCCCAGTCCCTGTGCCGGGGGCTCCTCACTGCTTCTGCTTTGCTGCAGCTGAACACCACCAAGACTGTTGATGGGAAATCCACCTTCCTGCACATTCTTGCCAAATCCCTCAGCCAACACTTCCCAGAGCTCCTGGGCTTTGCCAAGGATCTTCCGACAGTGCCGCTCGCTGCCAAAGGTAAAGGGTCAGAAGCAGCTGTGTGTCCTTGCRCCGCCTCTGGGTTTGAGTCTGGGGTCAGTCGTGGGCTGCACAGCCTTGGCAGGAGCAGGGTGGGAGCCAGGACAAGAGAGGAATGTCCCGAGCAAAGGAGAGTTGGGAAGGGATGAGCTCTGTGACGGGGAGGGGTCACCCGGCCCCGCTGCCACACTTGGCAGTGCCTAGATACAGCTCTGTCCCCCTCTGACTCGAAAACGTGATTGCCAAGGTCACAGGTACCTTGGACGTGCAGAGAAGGCACAGGAAGTGGATGGAAGTGCCAGGGGATGGTCTGCCCCACCCTCCATCCACGAGTGCCGGTGCCAGCGCTGCGCTGCCACACTCTCCGGGGGCACAGAGGGTGCAGCACCTCGGGGAGGGGTCACAGTCCGGTCACAGCTCTGTCACGTTGAGTGAGGACCCTGCAGCTCCCTTGGCTGCAATAAAAACCAGCCACAGATGCTGGAGCTGTTCTCCATCTAGCAGTGCTGGTGGTGTCACAAGAGGCTGGGCAGGTGTGACACAGGAGCAGGGCGGTGTCTGTCCCCTGTACTGGCACCACTGACGCACCTCCAGTTCTGGGGACAGCTCACAACAAGGGGGACATTGAAGGGCTGGAGCATGTCCAGGGAAGGGAATGGAGCTGGGGAAGGGGCTGGAGCTCCAGGAGGGGCTGAGGGAGCTGGGAACGGGGCTGAGCCTGGAGCAAAGGGGGATCAGGGGGGACCTTGTGGCTCTGCACAACTCCCTGACAGGAGGGGACAGCCGGGGGGGTCGGGCTGTGCTCCAGGGAACAGGGACAGGAGGAAAGGGAATGGCCTCAGGCTGGGCCAGGGGAGGGTCAGGTGGGATTTGAGGGAAAATTCCTTCACAGAAAGGGCTGTTAACCCCTGGAACAGCTGCTCAGGGCAGTGCTGGASTCCCCATCCCTGGAGGGATTTAAGAGCCGTGTGGATGTGGCACCTGGGCACATGGGTTAATGGTGACTTTGGCAGTGCTGGGGGAACAGTTGGACTGGATGATCTGAGGGCTTTTCCAACCTCAGTGCTTCTGTGATTTTAAATGATGAATGGAATCTCTACAAAGCACGAGCTGCATTCCCCTTGAACACCATCCCCTGCTGTTTGTGAGCAATTCCCTTGGGAATTAGTGCTACAGTGGATAAATAAAGGAGCAAATTCAGGCCTGGAGCTGTAAATTTCCACTTGAGGAAGGTCTGTACCTGGAGCTTTCCCAGCTGGAATTTGTATCTGGCCTAACTCCTAAATAACCCTTCTGTCTCTGGAGGCTCCCAGCTGCCCAGACTCCTGCCATTGTGTCCCCCTTGTCCTGGTGTCTGTGTCCCTCCTGTCCCCTCCCAGGTTCCTGTGTGTCCATCCTGTGTGCTGCTTTTCCTTGGCATGTTCCAGGCTCCTTTTGACACTCTTGGCACCTCTTGGTGTGAGCACCAACAGCTCCTGGCACCCYGCTGGTGTCCCAGCAGGCCAGTCTGGTTGTCCACCCTGCCTGGACAGCAGGACACTGGTGCAGAGSTGTGCAGACAGACAGACAGACAGACTGACCCCCTGACCCACGGCCACTCTCCTCACCTCTGAGTGCCACAGGAACAGCCCCAGCCCTGCTGACCCCGCTCTTGTCCCGCAGTGAACCAGAGGACACTGACAGCCGACCTGAAGGACCTGCACACCACGGTGAGTGACATCCAGATGGCCTGTCACAACATGCCAGCCACCGCCGAGGACAGGTTTGCCATCGTCATGACCGTATCCTTCTGTGTGAGTGGCATGTCCCTGTGTCCCTCAGCACCCTCGAGCAGAGCCCTGGCAGTGCCCCGTGGCTCCAGGTTGTGTCTGGCACTGTCCCAGTGCTGCTGGGAGCTCCCCCCTCTCTCAGCCAGGATGAGAGGTGGATTTGGTGGTGCCCCCCAGCTCGGCTGCCTGTGTGTCACGGGGCAGGGAACGTGCTGGGACATCTCTGTCCTTGGCACCTGAGCTGTCCCTGCACCTCCGCACGTGCCTGTGCAGCAGCTCCCTGCTGGAACCCGGCCATCTGATAAGAGATTGATAAGGGATTCTGATCCCTATCAGCCCCGTGGAACAGCTTTGTCCTTAAGCCAATTCCCCCAGTCCTTCCTGGAGAGTGCCCAGCCTGCCATGCGCTCCCTGGACGACCTGCAGCACAAAGCCATGGACGAGTTCAGCAAGGTGTTGTCCTTCTTTGGGGAAGACTCAAAAATGACAACTTCTGAAGCCTTCTTTGGCATTTTTGCAGAATTCATGAGCAAGTTTGAGGTGAGCTGAACCCTTCAGAGCCAGCCAGGCGCCTCCTGTGAAGTGTCAGTGAGGATTTTTATTTGTGTGTGCATGGTGGGAGCGGGGTGGGGTTTTGTGTGCACCTGTGCCTGAGTAAGGGCCTAAAGTGCAGTGTTCCTGACACACAAAATGGGCTGGACAGGGTGGGACACTGAGGGGGCCTCAAGCACAACCCCAGGGAAGAGTAATGTGGYTGTTCATGGAATCCTGGAATGGTTTGGGTTGGAAGGGATCTCACAGGTCAGCTAATCCACCCCCTGCCATGGCAGGGACACCTCCCACTGKMCCAGGCTGCTCCAAGCCCTGTCCAGCCTGGCCTTGGACACTTSCAGGGATCCAGGGGCAGCCACAGCTTCTCTGGGAATCTGTGGCCAGTACCCCGAACTTCCTCTTGCCACAGCAGCCCCACGCTCAGCGCTGYTCTTTCTGTCCCACAGCGGGCTCTCAGCGACGTGCAGGTGGGCGAGAGCCAGCGCAGCCCCAGGATGACCTCCCCGCTGGCCTGGTGACAGCCTGCGGCCACCTGAGCTGCGACAACTCATTGCCAACAAAGTGCAATTTGCTCCCGTCCARTCCGGTTGTAAATACGCTGCTGCCACCTGCTACCGCCCAGCAGAGTCACGGCCAGAGGGCTCGGGGCAGCTGGGCCCTGAGAAGCCACCGCAGGTGACACAGGATGACATGAGGGTGACACGAAGGTAAACCCTGCACTGGTCCTGACAGCTTCTGCAGCCCCCGGCACTTCCAGCGGGTCACTGAGCCAAGGTTTGGCACCCACCTTGTAAAACCCTGCTGTCCTGTATCCCAAACACCTGTCATTGGCACTGGAGACCCTCCCCACATCCCCATGGCCACTACCTGAGCTTGGGGGCAGACACCACTCACTCCACCAGCCCAGGGGCCGGGGTGAGAGCCCAGCCAGAACCCCTGGGAAGGCAGAGCACTCAGCAGGGAAGGGAGCACGAGGGGATGAGCAGCAGCGCTTGCTCCTCGAGGAGCTGAGCCCTCTGCAGTCCCTGTCAGAGCCCTTCTGCCCTGGGCAGAGCCCGTGGGGCTGCAGCTGCACCTGCACAGGCTGCACAGCGGGGCCGAGATCACTGGAGGTGCCCCGGGAGCTTTAATCCCCTTCCATTGGCAGTGGCCATGGAAAGCAACGGGGCCTTGCAGAACCCTCCTGGCACATCCATGTGGTCCCAAGGACGGATCCTGCCCGGCTCACGGGTCCTTCCTGGCCGTCAGCTTCGCTTAAAGCTCTGCCAGAGGCTGACRGATCTTGAAACCTTCCCAAGAGCGTAACAGCATCAGCACGAGGTTATTGCAACTCGCCAGCAGACAGAAGCCCTGAGCATTCTGATGCCTCCTTGGAAAGCACAGAAAGCCTAAAAACGAGCAGGATCCCTCTGCAGCCCCGCAGAGACAGCGGGAAGCTCATCCCCTGCAATCCTGACAGTTCTTTACTGTCAGACTGGTTTTCATGGTGAATATCCCCGGGAGCTCCAGCAGTGTGCACAGCCATGTCCCAGCGTGCAGCTCCCTCTCTGCCCRTGCCTGGCTGTCCCCAACTGCCGGGATCCCCGTGCTGTCCCTGGAACAGAGGAATGGCACTCTGTGGCCAGTGTCCTGTGTCCCCAGCTCCCGGCAGCAGCCCCAGTGCGTGACTCTGAGCATTTCCTCCGTGCAAAACGCTCCCGCCGCCCTCCAGAGCCGGCCCTGTCCCCCTGCCCAGCACACGCAGCGTAGGTCACCCCTGCAGCCATTGCCAGAGCAAGGGCTCGTCCTGCTCAAGGACACACTCACCGACCGGTGCATTATTTATGGGAGACCTTACGACCCTCGAATCTCTGGGTTTTGGTATTTTTTTTAAACCCTGCTGTAGAAAGTGAAGTATATTTTCACAAGTGTTCTCCGTTTATACAGCTTTAAGTGCCAGGTAGTGGGTAGCCTTGTGTTTCCTGAGGTCCAGGACAGGACCACGCTCCCTCTGCTCCTCCTTCCCTTTTGGATGTTGCACATTGCGTTCCGTTGATTTTTTTTTTCTTTTTTTTTAAACTTAATCAATATTTAAACCACCGGAGGTTCTTTTGAAACTGTCCTGAGAGAAGATGCTGTACATAGATTTTGCTACATGTTGTAACTTTCTGAAATAGTTAGAACTGCAATCCCTTTGGTATTTTTATGTGAATATTTTCAAAGAACCAGAACTTCTGGTGACATGATTTGATAACAGGACGATGTATATTCATGGTTCAGTCTCTACCCAATGCCTATGTGCTATTCCTGAAATAAAGCTACTGCCTTCTGCCTCCTGACTGCACAGATCTYTGTCTTCTGTCCAGAATTCTGAGGAATTCTGCATCTGGCACTTCTGCACTTGTTAATATTGGCCTTGACACCTGCAGGGTCTCACCTGGCTGGGCTGGGGCTCGTATGGAATCACTGCCTGAAGGACCTTCCTGCACTGCAGCATSCAGGCTGGAGGGATCAAAACAAGCAGCAAATTCTTAAAATAGTATAGATTTTTAACTCCAGCCTTCAGAAGAAAACATTTAGTCAGCGTTTGAGCCAGTGAATTGTTTCCCTCTGAAAAAGAATTCTTGGCTGAGGCTGAGTTTATGTCCYGGGGCAGGGCAGTTGATCTCCGTGGCACTCGGAGCAGATAGAGAGCTGTTCCCTGTCAGGTGCTGTGGTTCAGCGGGTTCCCAGCAGCCTGATCCAGCCCTGGGTGCTCCCCGAGGCTGCAGCAGATCCGTGCAGAGTTACCCACAGTGTTCCTCGCTGGGCACGTGCGTCTCCTTCCCTGGAGACACCTGCACAGGATCCCGAGGGATGGTGGGTTAGGTGTGGCCTCCAGTGGTCCCATCCAACCTGACCCACCTGGAGATTCCATCTGAAGTGCTCAAACCCTTCCTGGTGTTTCCTCTGCCCCCCTGGCCCATCCCACCAGCCCCGGGGACCAGCCCAGCGTGGCTGTAACAGCTCCCACAGCCTGAGTTGAGCCCAAAAAGCAGCAGGAAGCGATGTCCCGGAGCCTCTGCTCACCACACACAGCAATCACATCACTCCCCATTCTCCTGGGCTCTGGTAACTCTTCTGCAGACATGAGGTAATTCCTCCCCGGAGCTGGGCGCTCTCCTTTGAGCCTCACACAGAATTCCTGCGTCAGCCCCAGCCACRGGATCATCCTCACAGGAAAGCCTGTCCTTGGAAAGGAAATAACAACTCGGGCAGCAGTCGGGGTCAGTGCAGGGAATGCTCCTGCTCTGTGAGTGACACTTCCACCTCTAACACTGGGAAACTGTTCTGAAAATCCCAGGTCACATTCCAAACCTCAGATGATGTAAGGATTTCATTCTTTCCTGCAAGAAATAGAGGAGAAAAGATCTCAGAGAGGAAATGAGCAGCTTGAGCACAATCTGGGTGGATCACAGSTGGGACACCAGGCACCTCCAAGGCAAAGCAGAACCACCGGGAAGCCCTCCTTCTAAGTACCTTGATTTTGGCTTGAAGGCCCATGATCTATAATTATACTCCAGGTGCCACGAAAGATGCCAAAGAGACAAAAAATTATCTCAGCTTCAGGCTGGAAGAGCTGTAAATCAGGGGAGAAAAGGTGGCACAGACTGGGGAGCAGCACGGGACACCGGGTGCTGCATTTGCAACCCTTGAGGATCCACCTTYAAGAAAATTTGGGGTTTCCAAACCATAGCAGATCAAATTAAAACCTCTTCAGTTGCAAGGTTCAAATAGCTTTAATTATGTCCATCAGAACTGCGAYGGGAAAACAAGATAAAATACAGATATTTTTGGTTTTAATAGAAGCATTAAGTCACTGAAAAGATCTGGAAGGGACCTGAAAGATCATCCYTGCCATGGCAGGGACACCTTCCACTGTCCCAGGSTGYYCCAAGCCCYRTCCAGCCTGGCCTTGGACACTTCCAGGGATCCAGGRSCRKCCACAGCYTCTCTGAGCACCCCGTGCCAGGGCCTCCCCACCCTCCCAGGGAAGAATTCCTTCCCAAAATCCCACMCAACCCTGCCTTCTGGCAGGTTAAAATAACCTTAGCAGGTCACCAACACAAAAATTCCAGTTGGTAACCCCACGGCTGGGACATGGATTAAGCTTGTGAGGGGACAGTGCCCATTCTCCACCYGCCCTCCCACTCACTGCCCCAGTGAGGGGATTCTCAGTGGTGCTGCTGGGGATCTGTGCCCCCCAATTCCGGGGATTTATGAGCCACGGTCTCTCGCTGTGCTGTGAGGTCCCTCGTCACCATCACTCTCTGTGTGTTTTGGCCCTAATGGTTTATCAGSGTTTTCAGACAGRTGATGMTGCAGACAAACCTCCAGCCACTTCCCAGAGAGGGGCTCGATTCTGGGATGAACCTCCAGCCTCGGCAGTGTGTTACAAATGCCAGCCCACGGATGGATCTGCGCTCTGGAAGGCTCAGCATAAACACAGAGACAGCACCGGCTGTCAGCTCCTCCCTGTGCCACGGGCCGTCAGCTCCCGAGGACATCAGCCCTGATTTTTTATTGTTCTGTGTGCCTTGTGAAGCCGCACAGATTGCTTAAGAGAATGGCACTCCGTGGAGTTTGACCCGGGAGCCCTGATAGTGAAAATAATGCACTTCTCACCAGAGCCACGGGAGACCAAAAGAGTAACTTCGGTCAATTAGTTTAACTTTGACTATAAATATTCCTTCTCATTCCTTGTGACCCTGTTAACAGCTCCGCTGGCAAACCCCGATTCTCTGGCAATATTTAAGCTGCCTGTCAGTTGGCAGAGCCCTGCTGGTGCCCGGCGCGGGGAGCAGAATAAGACCAGCTGAGCGCAGTAAGTTCCCTTTCAGCTTCTACCTCGAGTCGGGAGCTCCGTCGGGTTCGGGGCTGTGCCGGGCTGCTCTGGGCCCCGGTGGTGGCTGGAGGAGGTGGACGCACCTGGGAATGCTTTAAGAATGCCCTGAGGAGGCGTTTAGAGCGATGCGGTGCCGCCGGGTTACTCGAGAGCCACGTGGGCTGCGTCCCCCCGGCGCTGCTGATAAAGGGCCGGCTTCAGCGGCTTCATTTCMATGCCACGGATGTTCCTTCCTCACAATCTCTGGCGAGGAAAGCGCCGCCGCCTGTGCCAGGCACCGGGGGAGAGCGGGCTGTGAGCTGAATTCACAAAACGGGCAAAATTTCCACTGGGCCACGGCGGAGTGGGGATCTGGGAATCTGCTGCGTTTTCCTGGCCCGGAGGAGTTTGCCGGGCACCTGCCCAGCTCCGGGAATGTGCCCCGGAGCGCATCCGCCGTCCCTGGCTTTGCGAGCGGGCACGGCAGGTGCCTGCAGGGCTGTCCTGCCCCGCACACCTTTCGGAGGGACACGCCAGCCCTGTCCCACCCTGGTGGGTGCCACCGCCGCCCCTGTGCAGCTGAACCGCGGGGTGACCCAGGGTGGGCTTGGGCCATCCTTGTGGGTCCCTTCCAGCTCAGGACAGCCCCCGATTYCCCAATTCCCCGATCCTGTGGCCCTGCTCCACGGCTCCAGAGGTGGAAAGTGTCTTGAGATGGAAGGAAGCAGCGGTGCCAGAGGGAAGCTGGAGGAGTGGGAGTGGGGTTAGCAGCTTCCCCAGGCTGACATACCAAACCCTGTTTTTCCTTTCCTAGTCAGAGGTTACGCGTGCCAGTACAAACTCAGCAGCAGCCAAGACACATTGGCTCTTAAAGCGGTAAGATAGCGCTGGTCTGGCCATCAGTGCCCTGCATCCCTGCCAGGCAGGAGCTCAMCAGGAATCCACTGGGATCCAGGGGTTTGGAGAGCACAGGAAAGGCTCTGCAAGGTGCTGTGAGTCTCCAGACTCAGCCTGGTGCTACTCTCAACCAGATCATGGCTCTCTACCAGCTTTGGTGCTGGAGGCTGCTGAGTGGGGGTACAACTTCCAACTGTGGGAAGCCAGTGCTGGGATGGTTCCTGTCCTTGGGAACTCCTCCTTTGTTGCCTGACCTTTGGTACATGGATGAGCCCAGCGGTGCTGCAGGACACAGGGCAGGCCCTGCCCTCCTGAGCACCCCAGCACCTCCATCCTACGGCTCCTGCCAYTCTGGTCCCTCTCCTGGGTCACCCACCAAGGCAGGAGCATGGCTGGCCACTCTCTGGCCAAGTCCTGGGGCCACAGGTGAGCTGAGGGCAGGTTCAGCTGCAGCTCCACACCTGCTGGGTGTTGTGAAAGCTCTGGGACACGAGGCTGTCCCAGCTCAGAGGAAGAACTTGTCCGACCGCTTGTCATCTGAGYGTCCCAGCACCCCTCGCCACACCTTGTTCAGCTCAGCCCTGTGGCAGGGGGGAGCCTATAAGTGTCTCCTTACGGTGTGAGAGAGGCCAAAGGAGCCAGCCAGCGTGGGGGACAGGGAGCAGCAGACACCTGGCACGGGCGTGCGGTGACACCGGGGCTGGTGACGGCTCCTCGCTGGGGGAACGCTCTCCTCGGCTCAGCAGGGTAAGAGGAACCATCCCAAACCTGCTCCGTGTGGCACTGAGGGTTCCTTGGGGACCGAGAGCAGCCACTGCCGAGACAGGGACTGCCCGAGGTGTCCTCGGCTGCCACTCACAGTCTGTCCTGCTCTGCTCCTGGGGCTGAGCTGAGGGAAGGAGGAGATGGGAAGGAAACTGCATTAATTCAAACATCCGACCAACCTCCTTGCCTGGACTTTATCCTGCCCCTTCTGCCAAGGGGCAGCACCATGGGATGCTCCAGAGGACTCCAGGCAGCCCTTCCAGGGGTCCTCCAGTGGTGCCACACCTCAYCACCAGGCATTGCTGGAGAAGAAAATGGGGTTTTATCTTCCTTAGTGACAGGTTGCCGGTGTCTGTTCCTGATCAGGAGCAGAGGACAGTTCCCACTCGCTGGGACACCTGCCTGGCTCAGGAGGAGACCTCAGTGCTCTGCACGGGGTTCGAGCTCTCTCTGTGGCCAAGGAGGGCAATGCCAGCTCTGCAGGGCCRTTCATGTGCTGTCACATCCTGGTGGCCTGTGAGGGACACGTTTYTGGCAGCAGCTCCTCACTGGGGCCAGCCCTGCAGTGCTGCCACCATGGGCTCCTCGGGCTGGAACCCCCAGCTCTGCCACATCCTGCTCCTTCTCTCTGCCTGTTTTCACCTCTCATGCCCCCATTTCTCACCAGCTAGAATCCACCAACACCCCTGGCCTGCCTGCTGGCAGCATCTCCACGCCACAGAAAGGAGCTGTGCATGAAGGCAAATGACAGAGACAGGAGCCTTCCCCAGAGCTCTGGCACGAGCAGCACCTCAGCCAGAGCTGGAGCCAAGGACCCCAAAATCCTCAAGGAGCAGTCACCACCTTTSCCTGGCCATGTCCCCCATCCTTCCACAGGTGTATGCATCAGGAGCAGGGAGTGCTCAGCCYGCCCAGGAAGCCATGGACCCCACCAGCATCCCCCCAGCCTCTGTGACCCCCTCGTGGGATGTGTTCCCCCAGCAGACGCTGGAGCCCGTGGACATCGCTGTGCTCGTGCTCTATTTCCTCTTCGTCCTGGCTGTTGGGCTGTGGGTGAGCAGACTCCTGTTAAAAGCTTCACATGTGCCCTGTTATGCTGAAAAATGCAGCTGCTTTGGCCCCAAACTGTTTTGCTTTGGCTGGAATTGGGCTGCTTTTCCCTGGATTCAACTGAGCAAGCTGAAAGGGGGAATTTACAGGTCCTTCTCCTCTCCTCAGCCTGGGTCATGTCCTCACTGTCCCTGGGGAGGGCTGTGCTGGCCAAGGTTTGAGAACCCTTGTGAGGAAGAGGCTGTCTGACTATAAAGCATTGCTAACAATGATGTTTTGTTCATCCAGGAAGGAATTGCTGCCCTATAAATCACCTGTGCTTGTCCACAGGGCTCCTGTGAGCAGATGCCATAAATTAATGACATYGTCTATATATAATTAAGGCAGAAGGACATCCTTTGGCATGGCTTTTGTGACAGCAAAAGCAGAGGCTGGCTGTCGGGAGGCAGAGAGGAATAGCTGCTCCCTTTGAGAGGATGCCTTCGGGGTATTGCAGGGATCATCTCTGGGGAAGAGAGGCCCAATGCTGAGCATTCCTCTGACTGCACCTAATACCCGGGGATTCCACAGCTCTTGTCCAAAATTGCTCACCTTCCTTTCTGCCCTGGAGAGGTTCAGTTTTGCTTTCCACAGAAAACTTTCCATCAGGGCGCTGGGATGATAGAAATCTCGGAGTGTGGCTCAGGGATCCTCATCCCCCAGGATTCCCCAGCAGCAGCAGCAAACCCTTCTCTTCACTCTGACAGCAGCTCAGAGTGTCCCATTGGGAAACCTCGGGGTGACGCCCTGAGCCCGTGTCCCCTCTCTGTGCCCGCAGTCCATGTGGAAGACGCAGCGCAGCACCGTCAAAGGCTATTTCCTCGCCGGGGGACAGATGGTCTGGTGGCCGGTGAGTAGCCCTGTGCTCACCCTGCCCGTGGTGCTGAGGTGCAGCCACACTGACAAACACATCTGCCCGAGCACAGCCCGTTTCTCTAACAGGAATAAACAAACAAATTGTGACTCCCATGTTTAGCAAGGGCTCAGTTTCACGTTGGCATTTTTCCCCCAGATTTGAGGCTGAGGAAGTGGAGCAGATGCAGGGCGAGCTCCAGCCTAATACCTCACAAAACCTGGCAGCTTCTGGAGATTTCCAGAATTCCCTGGGTTTCCACCATGGCCACAGCTTTRTGCTGAGCCCATTTGCTGGCTGGGGTGTCTTGTCTGGGCTGGGCTGGTCCCTCAGTAGGTGCTGATGCCAGAATCTAACATTTCTGCCTGTTTTCCCCACCTTTTCTGCTCACGCACAAGAGAATAGATGCTTTGGAAGCAGGTTGGTCCCAAACATGCCCACAAATTGGCAGTGAATGGTGGAAGAAGATGGAGAGACGGGCCACAGCCACTGAATTTGTAGCCAAAAGAACAAGGTGGCAGAGGCTGCCAAGGATTTCATGTCCTCAGTGGTCAGGAGAGGGAGAACAACTTCCCCGTGCTCTCCCCAGGCTGAGAACGATGCCCTGTGGCAGRGCCAGAGCTGATTTCTCTCTTTCTGCAGGTGGGTGCATCCCTGTTTGCCAGCAACGTGGGAAGCGGCCACTTCATCGGGCTGGCAGGGTCGGGAGCTGCCGCGGGGATCGCGGCCACAGCCTACGAGTGGAACGTGAGTGACCCTGCCCGAGCCCCACACCAGGGCACTGCCAGCTCCACACTCMCATCCTGGGCTCAGCTGGGTGTCCCTGTCCCACCTGAGCCCCTCTGACCTTCCCTTCTCTTCCCTTTGCAGGGGATGTTCTGTGTCCTGGTGCTGGCCTGGCTCTTCCTGCCCATCTACATCGCCTCGGGGGTAGGTGTGGGATGCTGTGTCCATCGGGGTGGGTGGGATTTGCTCCCTCCTGCTGCTCCTGCACAGCCTGGGGCCGCTCTGGTGGCCTGGCTGGGGKGACAGAGCTGCTGCCTGGGGGCTCAGAGTGCTCCCAAACTGCTGGCAATGAGCAGAATGTTCCATGTCCCCAGCAGAGGAATGGTTCACAGGGAGCCCAGGCAAAGCCAGTGCTTGCTGAGAGATAAACACCAGCCCGGGGCTCTTGTGCTCCTGTACCAGTGCAGRCACCCACACAGCTCTGTGAGAGCCCTTGGCAGCTCTGGGAATGACCCCGGGAATGTCCCACCTTCCCCAACTCTGTGTCTCTCTGCAGGTGACGACCATGCCAGAGTATTTACGGAAACGTTTCGGAGGCAAAAGAATTCAGATATTCCTGGCCGTTCTCTACTTGTTCATCTACATCTTCACCAAAATATCAGTAAGTAGGAAAAAAAGGAAAATGGATTGGATTATTGGATTTCATTCAYTTTGGAAATGTGTGCTGGGGGGGTTGAGGCTGAGAAATGCAACCCATGGCACTTGCTGGATGTGCAGAGAGGGGTTTGTTATCAAAATGCCCAAGGAGGAGAGACTCTGGTTGTTTTGGGAGCCCACACAAAGAAGAGTAGCTCCTTTTTTTCCCCCAGTTAGCACCTAAGCACTTGTTACAGCAGGAGGAACTCCTGTCAGTGTCCTGAGCAAGAGCCCACGCACAGGTGGGGCTGTAGCTGTGGGTGTGGTGGTTGTCTCCAGTGTCTCCCCTTTGTCCCTTTGTCACCTGTGCACACCCCTGCTGCTGCTGTGGCAGGATGGAGGGAGACACAGGGGCTGGGACAGGTTTAGAAGAGAAGTGCTCAGTCCTTTATTGCACCTGCTTGAATAAATAACTGAACTGAGCCTTGCACAACTCCTYGGTGGCTGTTCATTAACTGCCAGCCAGGGCACGGAGCCGTGAAAGCAGATGGGTCCCTGCTGGGCTTTTTCCTGTGCACACAGGGCCAGAGTGGGACACGGTGTCTGACCCTGCCTTTGAACTGCCCACAATTTTTGACAAGAGCTTGGAATGCCGGGACAAGGGGGAATGGCTTCCCAGTGCCAGAGGGCAGGGACAGATGGGATATTGGGAAAAAATTCCTGGCTGGGAGGGTGGGGAGGCCCTGGCACAGGATGCCCAGAGAAGCTGTGGCTGCCCCTGGATCCCTGGAAGTGCCCAAGGCCAGGTTGGATGGGGTTTGGAGCAGCCTGGGACAGTGGCAGGGAGTGGAATGGATGGGCTTTAAGGTCCCTTCCAACCCAAACCATTCCAGGATTTATGAAATGCAAGTCCTGGGGTTCCAATGGCACTGATGGGGAAGGCTCAGCTTCTCCAGACAGAAGTGCCCATGTGATGGGATCTCTGGCAGTGCAGTTCCTGAATTCAGACTGTTTTACACCTGCCTGTCCTCCCACACTCAGCCCTTTGCCTGCCCCAAAGTTCTCCTGACCCACAGCATTTTCACGGAGCTGCAGAGCTGACAGGGCAGGGCTGGGCCAGCCCCGGGGACACTTTTGCTGCTGATTTCTCTGTCCCCATGGCAGCAGGGAGGAACTCCCAGGCTGGAGCCAGCGTGTGGATTAACAGGGATGTTCTGTGGGGGGAGATGCTGTGGGGGCTGTGGGGTCATGAGCTGTTCCAAGCCAGGCTGGTCCTGGCAAAGGGGATGGTTTGGAGGGCTCARTGTGCACCCTGTGACCCGAGTGGTCAGTGCACTGGTGTGACTGTGCTGTTGTGCAGGTGGACATGTACGCTGGGGCCCTGTTCATCCAGCAGGCCTTGCACTGGGACCTGTACATCGCTGTGGCCGGGCTGCTGGCCATCACTGCCGTGTACACCGTGTCTGGTGAGTGCTGGGGACAGGCTGGTGCTGACCCTGACACTGACCCTGTCCCTAACCTGCCACTGACCCCACTGCCCCTGCCCTGCTGAGACATTCCAATGTCCAAGGCCAGGCTGGACAGKGTTTGGARCACCCTGGGACAGTGGRAGGTGTCCCTGCCCATGSCAGGGGTGGCACTGGATGAGCTTTAAGGTCCTTCCAACCCAAACCATTCCAGGATTTTATGATTTATGCCATGCACTATGTCCTGCATTCYCAGCAGTCTGGTTTTGCCATGAGTATGGGTACTGGGGTGGAAAAGCAGCTGTAAACTCATCTTTTTTAGAAAAAATTGCCAGCTGAGAGTAGATGAACCCCCCTCAGAGGCTAACCCAGGTGGGTGCAGATCAGCTSTGCCTTAAGGAGAAGCTCTGCCAAGGCATTTCAGGATACATTTTCCTTGTTTTCCTGGGGCTCCGGAGGTGCGAGGGATTTACACCACAATGAGCCGTGTAATGCGGAAAGACTCCAGGCTTGGATGCCCTTTCAGGGCTTAGGAGTGGCCAAATGGAAAACAGCCATGCACGGAGCAAGGAGAAATCCCAAATAAATAAAGGTTATTCCTTTCCCACTGCTCACCCCCAGTGATGAAACATCACAACCCCTTTTTTTTTTTTCCTCCTTTTTCAGCTTGGGCTTTGTTTTAGAGCTTTTCCATGTATTTCCCGTAGAATTACTTCTGCTTTTGGCTTTTAGTGACAAAATGGTGACTCATGATGACTCAAACCCTGAGAAATTCCAAAGTCTCACTGSCCAAACTTCCCCCCCAGCATGGACAGAACCCTCCAGCCAGGCTCAGGCTTGGCTTGTGCTGCTGGGCAAGAACTTGTGCCAAGTGTGAGCTGCTGTTACAGAACAARCCCAGTTTATCRCAGTTTGTGCCTCTCTGCTCTCCCAGGTGGCCTGGCAGCTGTGATCTACACTGATGCCCTGCAGACCCTCATCATGCTCATCGGGGCCGTGTCCCTCATGGTCTTCAGTGAGTGTTTTCCTGGGGGTTCGTCACTAAAACCATGACAGAAGCTTCCCCAAGTTAAATATTAGGGAGAAATCCTTCCCTGACGGGGTGCCCAGAGAAGCTGTGGCTGCCCCTGGATCCCTGGAAGTGTCCAAGGCCAGGCTGGACAGGGCTTGGAGCACCCTGGGACAGTGGAAGGTGTCCCTGCCCATGGCAGGGATGGGAATTGGTTGGGCTTTAAGAGCCCTTAGAAGCCAAACYATTCTGGGGTTCTGTGATTCCACAGGAGAGGCAGCAGCTCCTCCAGCCAGCACTGAGTGTCTGCATTCCCCAGCCCCATGTGAGAGCCCAGAGCTTTAAAGAATCCCTGTGGAACATCCCCCACAGCAAACCAGAGACTGGAATYAGAGTCCTGACCCGGGGCACGCAGTAACAGCTTCTCATGACCCATTTCAGGTTTTATTGAAGTTGGTGGCCTTGAAGGCTTGCAGGCAAAATACTTCAGTGCCATTCCYAGCATCCGCAAGGAGAACAGCAGCTGTGGCTTGCCCAGGAAAGATGCTTTCCACATCTTCCGAGATCCTGTGAGCTCTGACCTGCCCTGGCCAGGAGTTTTGGTGGGAATGACCATCCCATCCCTGTGGTACTGGTGCACAGATCAGGTGCGTGCCTGCTTGTTCCTTGGGTTGGTTGAATGTGATTACAAATATGGGGTTGTGGCCTCACCTGGACTGATTTCCTCTTTCTGATGGGTATCATTAGTAAAATCTGATTTTACCATCAGTAAAACCATATGGTTAAGTCCTAAAGAAGGAAAACTTGATACGTACAATGAACATTAGTTATCACCTCCATGGAAAAAGGGGTAGGAATGTGTTTGTGTGTTAATACCAGTCTATAAAGAAGTGATTTGTTTGTTTCTTTGCTTTTTTAACTTAATCCTTTTCCTCCTTGTGAACCACCTGTGAATTTCTTCTTTCACGTTTCCTTTGGTCTGGCTCCCATCCCTCCTAATGACACCACCAGAGCCAGGGACTTGAAGCCCTAAGCCACCTCCTGATGTTCAGTTTTGTTTTCTTGCTCACTTACTTAACCCTGCTCATTTCAAGCTCTGTCCTGGTCTTTGGGTTTTAGTCCAGGTCTTTGTCCTGGACTTCTCCACAGGGTCAGGGAAGTCCCCAGTGCATGAAGAATAGAAAATCCTGGGCAGGGGTAGCTGAGGTCAGATTCTGGAGCACAGCGTCCTCCCAGGACTGGCTGCGATGGCACAAGCTGTGCCTTCCAGGGTTGGATGTCTGAAAGGACACAGGATCCAAAGCACCAACCCCAGAGCCWCAGCCAAGCTCTGTGATCACTCTCTGAGACTTCCAGAGTTCACTGGAGATCAAAGTTGGGATCTCTCCATCCCAGCCAACTCCTGCTGCTATCAGCCAACCAAACCCATTCCTTCATTCCTAGGTCATTGTTCAGAGGTCCCTTGCTGCCAAAAACCTTTCTCACGCCAAAGGAGGCTCTTTGATGACCTCCTACTTGAAGATTTTGCCCCTCTTTATGATGGTAATGCCAGGCATGATCAGCCGGGTTCTCTTCCCAGGTAAGTGCTGAGGAGAGATCTCTCCCCTCTCTCTGRCTGTGCCGACTCCCTGGAGCTGGAGCAGCTGCTGAATAAGCTAAAAAGGTTCTAATGCATCAAATGCGCAACACATGAGGAAATTTTCTTCCAGTGAGAAGCTGGAGGATGCAGATCATCCCTCCCAGAGCAGCCCTGGACATCCCTGTGCTGAGATAGCCCCGTGTCATTTGCTGGAAGCTCCCCAGGCTGTCCAGTACTGCCCTTAGAAAGCAGCTTAGGACAGTCAGCAGAGGAACTTGTTCAGAGACTCTGGTTTATTGTGGCTGSCAATGCTGCCTCTCACTCCCAAATGCTTATTTCAGATCTGGTGGCTTGTGCAGACCCGGACATTTGCCAAAAAATCTGTGGCAACCCCTCAGGCTGTTCTGATATTGCTTATCCCAAGCTGGTGTTGGAGCTCCTGCCTGTAGGTAAGAGCCTGGTGATGGTTCTGGCACTGCTGGGGGTGGCACATGGCAGCCACAGGTGCCTGGGAGGGGAGCCCAGAGAGAGAAATACCCTGGAACTGCCATTTCAGTGGGGTTTGTGTGGGACAAACCTATCACTGTCATTTTCATTTCGAGCTAAAACTCGTTTTAGCCCACAGAAGACCTCGAGGCCACCCTGCAGCGGAGCTACTGCAGATTCCTCAGGGTGGCTCTACTTCTCCTTATTCCCAGGGCTCCGGGGCCTGATGATGTCAGTGATGATAGCAGCCCTCATGTCCTCCCTGACTTCCATCTTCAACAGTGCCAGCACCATTTTCACCATGGACCTCTGGAAACACTTCCGCCCTCGGTGCTCGGAGTGGGAGCTCATGATCGTTGGCAGGTGGGGAAAACTGGGATGAGTATCAGAGCCTGAGTGCTGGACACACATCTGGCCACAGCTGCTGAGGTGACACGCCCTGCACAGGCTCTGTGGTTGTGGGACACCTCGGTGGGATTCTCACACTCAACAGCTTGAAGAGGAGGGCCTGAGCTAACAGGAACGGCCCCTTTGTGTCACACAGGGTCTTYGTGCTGCTGCTCACCGTGGTGTCCATCCTGTGGATCCCCCTGGTGCAGGCTGGCCAGGGCGGGCAGCTCTTCATCTACATCCAGTCCATCAGCTCGTACCTGCAGCCGCCCGTGGCCATGGTGTTCATACTGGGCTGCTTCTGGAGAAGGGCAAACGAGAAGGTACCGACCCTGCTGGCYGGAGAGCAGCCCTGCATCCCGGCTGGATGCTGCTCCCACACGGAATCCCCTTCCTTCCTTCCTTCCCAGGGTGCCTTCTGGGGGCTGGTRGTGGGGCTGCTGCTGGGTGTTGTCCGCCTGGTGCTGGACTTCATCTACCCCGAGCCCCAGTGCGGTGACCCSGACAGCCGGCCCGGCGTGGTCAAGTACATGCACTACCTCTACTTCTCCATGGTGCTGGCGGCCATCTCCACCCTCACCGTGCTCGTGGTCAGCGTGGCCACCGAGCCCCCGGCCCCCGAAATGGTGCGTCACCCCCTCTGCTCCTTTAGCCCTAAATGCTTTGCAGGATGCCCCATGCTTCATCCCTGGGGAGAAATCAGCTGGAGATGGAAGCCTCCATTTATTCCTGACTTAGGGTCACACCTGTAGCAGTGACCCTTCCTCTGCTCCAGCATCTTTGCTGCCTTTTCTGATTGGGGGCCCATAAATCCCACCCTGGAAACTGGTCAGCAGTAGATTCTACCATGAGCTGTTGTTATTCGAGCATGTGTGTTTAATCCATGACAAAATAGCCTTTTCCCCTCTATTTTCCAAGCAATTCCAGCTTCTGGGTCATCTTTACCAACTCTCTTACTAACTTAGCGAGGAACCATTTTTACTTGCAGAAAAGAGAACCCCAGGGCAGAGAGCACATCTCCTCTGGAACAGGTTTGTGCCAGTTTGACTATTTTCAGTAGATGTTCTGGTGCTGAGGCTGCACTGAGGGCAGAAAGAAGGGGCACAGGGGCTTCAGAGCTCACACAGCAGCACAGGTTCTTGCTTCAAGACAGGACTAACCCTAAACTCAGAACCCCCCAGAGGAGATACCTGGAGGTGTGTGATCAGTCCAGACAGCACTTGYCCACCCTGTAACAGTATTTCCTCATCTCCAACCTGAATTTTTTCAGCTTTATGTGGTGCTCATCCTCTCTATTCTCCCTGCCACTGAGAACATCCCTCTATAATGAATCTTAGCTATTAGAAGAAAAAAGCCCTATTACCCACCTGCTGTCTCTTCTCTTAGCACCCCCATTTCTCTGAGCCTGCCGTCCCTGGCCACAATTTCTGTTCTTTTTATYCCTTCCTGACCTGCTCTTAGTGTGYACCCAGCRATGGCCCCACAYGGAGAAATCCCTTCAGTACAGACCTTACAGACTCATCCTTCTGAGCTGGAGGACAAAGAGCTGTCGTGTTCCAGATAATCCAACCCAGAGTGGCCACAGCAGCGCCTGTGGAGCCCTTGGCTGTGCCCTGCTCCCTCCAGGCAGGAGGGCGGCTTTCGGCCGTTCTTGGCGATCTCTCAGCCGAGGCAGTCCCTGAGCCCCGGGACAGCACAGCAGTTTCTTTAACACCACTCTTCATGCCATCAGATAAGTCGGCTCACCTGGTTCACACGTGGGGATCCTCCGCCCAAGCAGGAGCTGGCAGCCAGCCCCGGCGCCGCCGCTGCCAAGGACCCGGCCGCTGTGCAGCTGGAGCTGAGCACTGCTCCTGAGAATAGTTCAGATGATAACAAATGTAAGTGGTCGTGCTCAGTAACCCCAAACCTCACAGCCCCTGGCGTTCCTAATGGCTTGGAAGACAAGGAACGTTAAAACTCCTTCCTCTGGAATTCTGTAGCTTCAGGGTGTGCTAAAGGAATCACAGAATGAAAGAATCGTAGAATATGCTGATTGGGAGGGACCCGTAGGATCAAGTCCAACCCCTGGCCCTGCAGAGATCCCCCAACAATCCCACCCTGTGCATCCCTGGSAGCGCTGTCCAAATGCTCCTGGAGCTCTGGCAGCCTCRRRGCTGGGACCATTCCCTGGGGAGCCTGGWCAATGGCCAGCACCCTCTGGGGAAGAACCTTTGCTGGATATTCAACCCAAACCTCCCCGGGCCCAGCTCCAGCCTTTCTCTGGGTCCTGTCCTTGTCACAGAGAGAAGAGATTGGAGCTGCCCCTCAGGARGAGCTGCAGAGTGCAGTGAGGTCTGACCTCAGTCTCCTCTTGTCCAGGGGAAAGATGCTTTGCCTGACATTTTTCCTAAGCAGGAGTTTGGTTTCTTTTCCAACTCTCGATGGCATTACAAAAGCTTGAAATGAAGGAGCTGGATGGGATACAGAGCCATGGCTGTTATCCCGTGCCAGTGACTGGTGCCATGGCACCTGCAGCCAGAACTGTTGGAAAAGGGGAGGGTGGAGGACAACACAATTATGTTGATGAAATTCCCTTTCTGTTTTTCAGCGGTGTTTTCTGATCGGCTCTAGCAGCAGGGAGGACCCAGAGCCCTGGGCCGAGTTCTTGACAGATCAGTGAAGGAGGATTTGCATTTTTTAGAACTTTTACTTGTCGGTATTAGGTACAGCCACGGGCAGAACTCCMTGTGCATTCTGCAGCGATGATTCGCATCCCTTGTTTTTGCCAGGCTCAGCCCATGTTTATGTAACGCTGCAGCTTCTGCTSTGTGTTCCTTTGATCTGTAACAAGCTGCTCTAAGTTAATGAGTTACGGTGCAGCTCCCCCGCTGCTGGGAAGTCTCACACTTGTTGGATGTGAGCGGTGCCTTCCCAGCATTAAATCATGTGTGTCCCAAAGCGCTGGGGAAATCCAGCTTAGAGGTGTGGCAGRGAGGCTGCGGGCACCAAGCAGCTACAGCTCAGTTTTGAGGTTTGATTTATCGTTACCATGGCTTAGAATGCTGGGAAGAGGGAAAAGCAGAACCTGAGCCTGGAGCTCCAGGGAGGATGGGACTGGTCCTACAGCCCCAGAGATGCTGACTGGAGGGGTCCCTGTGTAGTGAGCGTTCCTGTAGAGACCACGGGCATGTTTCTGCATCAAACCCTGTGCACAGGAGCACGAGCCGTTCCTGGGACTCGCTGTGCTGGAGACTCATCCCTCACTGGGGCCTCTCGTTGCAGGTGCAGCTGAGGCCAAGGGCAGCTCCAAGCTGCTGAGCACCGTCCTGTGGCTCTGCGGGATGGAGCGCAGGCAGGAGAGTGCCGAGAGTGCGCCCAAACCCGAGCCCCTGCCYGTGGCTTCCCTGGAGGAGAAACCGCTGGTGAAACACGTCCTGAACATCAACCTGCTCCTCTGTGTGTGTGCCGGGGTGTTCCTCTGGGCGTACTTCGCATAGCCAAGGGGATGCCAGGCCACACGACATCAACTAACTTTAATTGGTGTAAATATTAATGATTAGCAGAGGGTTAATGCAATTCTTAATGCTTTCTAAATTTTATTTCTTTATTTAAGAAGACAGACCTGCCTCCCTAATCCTTTTCTTATTTCTAATGGGGGCCTGGCTGTGTCTGGGGCCAAGCACTTGGCACTGGCACCATCAGACCCCGACTGGCACCAACGAGCTGAGGAAGGTTGGTTTGGTTATTTTAAATATTTAATTTTGCTCTTTGGCCTTAGAGCACTGCCTGGAATTCAGGAAGCCTGGATTCTCTTCCTATTTATGCCTCTATAACCAGCTACAACCACTTGGTTCAGCTCCTCCAGCCTTGAGGGACAAGGGACACCTCGAGTGGCCRGAGCAGAGCCAAGGGCTGTTGTCTGGGCCCTGCTGTGCCTCTGGCTCAGCTGTGCCCGTTCAGCTCCTTCCCTGTGTGCAGTGAGTGCTGATGGGCCCGTCTGGGAGCTCTGGCTGAGTTACYATCACTCACACTCCAAGGGTGACACCAGCACCCAGCATGGAACTGCCCCAAAACTGCTGCGGGGCCACCTGAAGGATCTGGACCAGCCAAACCCACCAGAACCCAAGAGCCTGGATTGCTTCTCTTCCTGGCAGAGGTGCCCAGTGGCAGCCCCCATAGCCTGGGCACCCACAGCTGTTCCAGGAGCACCTCAATGGAGAACCCTRGGCCAGGAGCACCGAGCGCTGTCACCAACCACTGTCACCCCTGTGGCAAGGGGTGGGCTGGGGACCATCACCCACCCTGGCCCCACAGCCTCGTGCAGCTGCAGAGAAACATTAAAGAGTGAAAGCTGGTCCCTGCCTGCCTGGAATCTTTGGGGATGGGGGGCTGCCAAGACCTCGGGCCCCATGCCCATGTTGGAGGCTCCTGGAGCCCCTCCCCTGCCCTCAGTCCCTATAGACCCTGTTCCCACTCCCCAGGTTGCTGGCACTTCCCAGAGTTCATTAATTGTTGCAGGATCATAGCAAAACTCACACACAGAACTGACAGCACTGTGTGTGCAGGGAGCAACAACAGGCTCCAAGGAGCAGGAACACCTGGAAAGCTGAAGCAGCCCCCAGAACCAGCAAATACTCTTTTATTAAAATAGACATAAATGGAATTGGTACCTGGGGATTSTTCCTGAGTACGTGAAACACTGCTGGAAACCCTGGGGGAGACAGGCACTGCAGTTTGGGGCATAAACATCAAAGTCAGTGACAAGACTGGAGTTTGTGGTTCACCAAACTGAATTTACAGTTACAAACATTTATTACAGGGAGAGTGTGGTGACAGGGGAGAGAGCCCTTAAGTGCTTCCACTGAAGTCCTTAAGGGAMAACCAAAGTGAGCAGCCACTGACTCCAAGCTACACAGTCCAAGGGATTACTGTGACCTCCAGGACCCACTGGAAGCAACAAAACTAGAATAAAGATGCCTTAAGTTGACAAAAAACAATCTTTAATTTTATAAATGTTCACCCAACTGCTGAATCCAAACAGGTGTTCCAAAATTCATTCAAAATYCAACCGTTTTCAACAAAAGCACAAACCCCATTTTCATGGTTTCCTTGTGAAACAGTTGCCAGTTGCACATGAACAAAGCAGGTTAATACAAATAACTATGAAATCAGGGTAAGTACTGATCCTAAGTAGCAATGAAATGATTAAAGAGAAAGGAAGTTCCTCCTACAGCACGACAGTCCTTCAAGGCACTGGATGCATCCACAGTTCCACAGGGTGACTGAGAACCAGCAGTCACCACCAGCACTAGGGCAGGGGTTTGGTTCACGGCTTGAGGGGAATCTGCAGCAAATCCGAGAGGAAATGTCCCTTGGGAGGCAGCTCCTGGTATGGGCTAAGAACTACAAATAAACTCTAACCGTGCCATGAGAAGGATTATTTCCGTAATACAGACATGCACTTTAAATAACTAATGCTCTGCTTCTTACTCTTTTGGAATTTCTGCTAATACAACCTGTATCAGCACTGATCACGCTTCCTAGGCAAGTTCCTGCGGGAATTCATTCCTTCCATCCAAGAGTTTGAAAACCGTTGTCCAGACCCAGATCATTAAACTTCTTCTGAGGGCAAAACCGGAGCTTGGCCAAAGRTTGGGCTCGATTTTCCGAGAGGTCCTCCCCAACCTCAGCGATCCTGGAATCACTGTCCCCATGATGCACCGGTCCCAACTCCACACAGTTCTGTCACATTGCCAGAAGAAGCTTTTCCCTGGTAGGTCTGAGGGTTTTCCCCCGGGAGAGGAGCCCTGGGAAGCTGGAGCACCCTGGTCACAGCGCGGTGCTCTCCGTGTCATTGTCAATGTCCAGCAGGATGTGGTTGTGCAGCTCTCTGCCTGCCGGCTCTGCAGGAAGCTCTGAAGGAGGGGTTGGAAGTGGTTCTGGAATACTGGAATTAGAGTCTGCACAAAAAGGGAACAGCAAGTTTAGCAGCCGGGCCAGGGCCGGCTCATTCACTGGGGAATTCCTGGGCATTATTTCCTTAGACAGAGAAAGGAAAGCAAAGATCAACGAAGGCTCTTGCAACAGARCTGGCCTCTGTGGGCACAAAGGGCTGAGCCCAACTGGACAGCYTGGACTGCTTCTCCTACAGATCTTGGTTTAGTCCTGGACAAAGTAGCAGAAACCCACTCCTTCCTGAAGAAGGGAGGACAGCGAGTCTGATTTAGGATCAGATTCCTCAATACCCCTGGACAGCTACTCTGGATTTTCATGTCAAAATACTCAGCAAAATAACTGGGCACCTAAATCATCTGCAAGGGAACACCACCCCTGTCTCTGAGAAACAACAGGAACAAGGATGGTGTCAAAAAGAGGCAGAAGTTATTTAAACGAAATGCAGAGTAAACCTGTCTCCTGTATAAACAGGGCATGTGATGGCCTTTGCCTCTTCCAAGGAAAGGAGAATTTAGTTCAAGGTAAGGTGTCCAAAAAGGACCACAAATTGCTGCATCTCTGGTGACTGACTGCCCTGGCAGCTAGAATTATCAGACCAGAAAAATCCCTAGCAGCTCAAGAAAAAGGTAACTGAAAATCTCGTCAGAATTTTAGAAAGCTGATTTATAATAGGCCATGACGTCCCTTACTACAATCCAGCAGCTGCTCCACATAGGAAGTAATTTAGATCACTTAAATCAACAAAAAAATCCAAATAAATGCCTTGTTTTCAAGCACAGGAGGTGCAGACAGGCATCCTAGAGAGACTGGGATTCATAACTCAAGCATGATGTCCTGAAGTTAACCCAGAAGTTACTGTAGAAAAGCTCAGGTTGAAGGCTTCTGAGCTGAATGCCCTGGAAGAGGGGAAAGCAGCCATTGAGTGCAGCCTCCCCTGCTCCTGAGCCCCCCACAGCCTGCAGGGATCTGTGTTCTGGGATACTGCCACACAGAGCTGGAATTCCACCCTCCTCTGGCCTGGCACTGAGCAGGAAGTTAAAACACAGAATCCCGGAATGGTTTGGGCTGGAAGGSACCGTAAAGCCCACTAAGTCCCTCCCTGTGCCATGGGCAGRGACACTTCCACAAACCCAGGGTGCTGCAAGCCCCTGGAGCAGCTGCTCTGGGATGCTGTGACAAGGAAGGAGTGTTTGTGACACAGGACAGTGCAGTGACATCTGATACAGGAGAAGCCTCTGCAGGGAACACACCAGTTCTGCATTTTTGTACATGGAGACAGCACAAGGTGAGAGTGGCCAGGGAGACACCGAGAGCTTCACATTCTGCTCTCCAACACTTTAGTGGGTTAATGGGAGCAGCAGCCGCCCCTGTCTGGCCATGCCCGAGGGACACACACAGCAGGGCACTGGGGTGGGTTAGTAGTTAGCACACACATCATTAGCAATTAGCAATTAGCAACAGTGTCGGCCAATCAGGGGCCTTTTCCTTACCATTGCACTTGCCAATACAGTTCCTACTGAATGCTGGTCAAACATCTGGATTATTTAATAAAACCTTTGATTAGAATATTCTAGGGCTTCTTAATTTAATACCATAAATAGAATTTGAGGCATTATTAAGTCCAGTACATGGACAAAGGAGTCAACAGCATCCTGAGAACAGTTCAGAATTCCTGTTCTGGGATTATGATGAGTTTTGCTGGCACCCTAATTTTGGCTTCTGTTGTTCCTGCGGTCCACTCGTTAAGGTTCAAATTAAAAACAGCAATTGCACATTGTGAATTAGTGAGTCTGTGAGTGCTTGTATGTGCAGGTGTGAATATTAGAGCAGATACTCTYATGTGACAGGTGGTGGTGTTAATTCAGAGTGTTAATCCTTTAAAAACACACTGATCTGGGAAAGGTGGATGCTTTAGCATGGAGGGTACTGCTGGAGGTGAGCCTGAGTGTCACTTCAACCCCTCCCCAAGGGGATTTCAGCAAACCATGTTGCATCTCCTAGGTCCCTTCACCAGTTGAGGAGAGAATCCTTTCCCAGCAGCTTTCCCAGTTTTCCTGCATGGCAGCTTCCACACTGTGTTTACAGCACACACCTGGCCCATTTGCTACGGTTTGCACTCAGCTCTGGCACGTGCTTGCCTTGCCCAACTCTAATGAAGCAACCCCAGCTGGATGTTAATTAGAAGACAAGGATTTCTCCAGTTACACGGGGTAAAACAAACCCTCCCTGTCTGCTGTAATTTAAGCAATTTCCTCAGAACCAGAAAAACCCTAAAATGAAAAAAAAAAATATAGCCAAACTACGGAATACTTAAAAATTAAGTCTTGAAGTTTGACTCATTAGCACAGCTGCCGCTGTTAATTTAACTGTAAAGTGCTGTCAAGATTCAGTGCCCAGCCTTACTTCTGACTTCAGCCCAGGAATGAATTATCCTTGTATTTTAAATATACTGACAAAAGTACAATCAGGAAAAGTCAGTTATTTTAAAAAGCAAAGCTATTTTTTAGTGGTTTAAGCAGCTCTTTTACTGCKAGTTTCATCATGGAACCCCATATTGGGCAGGGACACATTTTGCTATCCCAGGCTGCTCCGAGCCCCAGCCAACCTGGCCTTGGACACTTCCAGGAACGGGGCAGCGACAGCTTTTCTRGGCAACCTCTTTCTCCAATTAACAAAAACCCCAAACCCAAACTATTTCCAACCTGACTTCTCAATCCACTATAAATTTCAGTGTCCTTGCTGCAAACAGGCAAATCTTGAGCTAACTCAGGCAGGCAGCCCTGACTCCCCCAGCCTGYTGTGCAGGCACTGCAGCATCCCCAGGCCTGAGCAGTGGGAAGTGGAGGTGAGGATGAGCTGGGACTGAGCAGACAGAGCCATTAGTGAGGCTGGGAAGCCAACGTGCCACAGTGCAGGAGCTGCTGGGGCTGTTTTACTGCAAGTTTAGTCATAGCCTGGCTTTTGTCAAATAAACTCCAAATGGTAAAAAATAACTGCAAACCTAAAGTGAGAGCTACATTAAGRTGTAACCATAAWCTACCAAATTGTAGGAAWAATCATACTTGMCTGCACTGAGGAGAACAAGCATGTTGGAAATGGGTCACTCATTACACCTGATTTGGGGACTAATTCTGGGGCCCTAGTGTCCAGTGTTACTTTTTTACAGGGATTTAAGGAATAACTTTAATGTTCACAGGCCTATTACAATGAAGCAGCAGAGGCCTTAAACCCTCTTGCAGACAGAATGCTATGGAGGGATGAGAACACAGAGTTGGCAGAGCACAATTCCAAGCGCATGTCCGAACTCAAGCTACAAACAGGAGCGGTTTAGCTGCAATTACAGTTTCTGTGAGTACAAACCTTATTCGCAGTAACCATCCCCACCTGTGAAGGCATTGG